AGAGGTTTAGGCGCACAAAAGCAGTTGTTTCCAAGGTTCTCCCTTAGTACCCCCCCCCCCCCCCCCCCTTTGATTGGTGAAAATAAAACCCCGGACAAATTAAAATGAAGACTTCATCGTGGTTGTCCGAGAGTCATTATAAGGCTACTCATGTGGAACATTTGATATAACCTTAGAGAGCTGTTTATGGTGTAAAGAGATAGACACTCGTTCTGAGGTTATTCCCTATAGCATCAAAGTGGGACTTTTCCAGGTCGTAAGCCTGTCATTTTGTGATTACTGGGTTGGGTGCTACAATTTTGGTAATAGTGCAAAATAATGTCAAGGACTTACAACCACTTCTAACGCAAAAGTGGGAGAAGTTGTGAAAATTGTCAAGAATATGTTGGTTGCCTTTCCTCCATCCCCATGCTATAAGAAAAAGTGGGTAAAAAAAGAGGAAAACACAAGCCTTGTGCTTCGGTCATTTTTATGATTTAGTATAATATAGACATCGTGTTTAATTTGAAACGTAATAAATCACAATTAGCATAAACTGGATCAGAGATTAAACTCAGAACTGCCTTCTTAACACAAAATACAGGATAAACATAATCACACAAGTTTAAAAAGAGAGCAAAAGAAAAATAATGCTGCAACATTTTCTTTGAATTTTGAAATCAGTGTGCTTTACTTTACTTTAACTCTAATGGACTCGATGGACACATGCAATCACTATCTATCTTCTACACACGCATTTATCACTTCTCCACACACACACACACACGCACACACACATATTAATAAATACTTATTTATACTGAATGTTATATTTGTATTTCATTGAGAGGAGTAAAAACATTATGAAAACTTTATTAGGGACTTGGTTGTTCATACATTCTAAACTCTGTCTTCATAAGGTATTAATGCTTCAGCACAAAACTTTTAGTCCTGTCTGTCTGTCTGGTGCAAATGAGGAGACTGCCAGTATGAACAATTCAACACCAGTTTTTATATTTTCAGGAAAAAAATATAATCCACAAATCATTACTCAATTTTATGCTGATGGTGATTTAGTTCAATATTAAGGGCCCCATTTCATCCAACAGATTTTTTTTAGTAAGTTACTTCTGCTTAAGAAAGGTCTCCTCTTCAGGTCCCTTTACATAGCTTTGGGTTTACATCTGAACTTCTTAACCTCCCCATTGTAACATGTACTAAGATGAATGATGACACGGAAGCTCCGCTGCCAGGCTGGCGCGCGCTAAAGGGTGATCATTTCAGATATGGAGCCCTGCATTGATTGCTGTACTAAGAGAGCCTGTGCAGTCACACTCACGATCAGGCTTTTACCACTGCTATCATTATTTCTGCTTATACTGTACGTGTGTAAAACTGCTATTGCACCATGATTACTAACTATAATCATACAGTGGAAAATTCTGAACTGTATGTCCTTTTGTATTAAATAAACGGCTTCGTTGGAAGTGACAGTAAAAGACCACATCGAGTGGATACTACATTTTACTCACCACTTTAAATATGATTCTGTGTCTTACCTCTTTATTGAGGTTAAATTAATTTCTTAACTCATTACATTTGATAGGAGTATCTGCATCTTTCTTTATAAACCTGATACACACCCATAGGTTCAGGCAAGGATACCCATCCTTGCAAATCTGAGGTAAAACGTGATGGAATTCATAAGAAATTGATTTAAAATTAAAATTAAAATTAACGATTTACAGTGAAGCCTCCCCTGCCCCTCCATCTCCCACCTTTACACCACAATCGCCCCTGTTTTGAGCTCCACTGCTGATCAGATGGTGTGACCCCTCCAATGCGCATTCGAGTTTGACTCGATATGAAATTAGAACCAGCAGGCTTTACACTGAAGCCCATCAGCCAATTTGTGTTGTGTGCTGCACGGGAAGCAAACTTCCACCCCAGAGCCGGGATGGCTCGGTATCTTGTGTTAAAGCCGAGGGTTTGGGAGCACTAAACGCGCCGTTTGTTGTGGCGTCCCTCTGAGCCCCCGTGCGCTGTGTGCGTAAAGGCAGTCTGCTTCAGCGACCCCTCCGCGCTGATATTGTTTCTAGTTTGGTTTGCTAGATGGCGCTCTGCGATGTGGGACCCTCTCACAGAAGAACCGCCCCGCACCCTCTCCTCCTCCTGCGCACTGCGCTCTCAGCACGGTCCGCGGCGCAGCGGAGGAGCTTTTCCGCGGCCGTTTGGAGCAGGGGTTCCAGCAGCAGCTGCCCGCTCTAAAGCCATTTTACCGTTGTCAATAGAGGCGAGCTTTTAGAATGACTTTATCCCGTGTTGAGTGACGTTTCGGTTTGTTTAGTTAAGCTAGGGATTCGCATGGTAAAAAAAACAGCGATCAGCAAAGCATTTTCCTGTATTGTAAACTGATAATACACCTCTGTGAGCTATTTTAATTATCTTAGAAATGCAACGGAGACGAAAATATAATAATTTAAATCAAAATTATACTGAAACAATAGATACATACGATATTAGTAAAAATAATAATATTAATAATGACGATTATGATAAAATAAAAATAATGATAATAATAAAAATGATTATGTCAATAAATTTGCAATTTGAAGATTAATGAGTAAACCAAGTTGGAATGCACAAGTAAGGAGCAATATTATTACTCTACCTAAAATGTGCTCATTATAACTACAGATAACTCTCTTGAAAAGTACAGGGAAATTCAAATGAAATCACATTTCAAACAGGGTCATTGAAAAATAAAATAAATTATATGACAAATGTAGCAAAATATTATAAGGTTGTATTTCACTTTTTTTGAGTCAGGAAGGTAATCTGTGGAACTTTATAGTCTATTTCAAAGTGGTTATTATCCAGGAAAAGGCTCCATTGTTTTGTTTGCTGAGTGGCTCACTC